AAGTATGAACTTAACAAGAAGACTGTGAGACAGTTTTAGGTTCCTATGGGTGTGTGCACCCACAAGCAAATGATTACAGACTAAAATCCCCTGGTGAAAAAACCTCCACCCTGAATAGCCACTGACACCTGATAAAACACTGGTTTGTTCCTTACGACTCTTTATGGTTCCTGAGGGGGAGAAAGGCTGCGTAAATAACTGTTTGTCCTCTCACACACTGCTCTAGTGATGAACAGGAAGCAGCTGGGAGCTAATTATTGTTTTGGGAATGCACTGAATCCCGAAATTTGCTCAATGTTTGAACCATCCTGTTGGATAGATTGGTTTCCATAAATCTGCCTGGTTTTAGCTCGCATTTAAAAAAAAAAAGTTATTGCTGGTGTTCACTTGTCTTGTGTTTGATATCATCTTAAAACTTAAAGAATCCTTTTATTTATTTATTTTTCAAATTCTGCTTTCATATTCTCCCTCTAACATTGTTTAACCGTAGTATTTACCCCTTGAAACACTTGGCTGGTCAACTATATACTTTCAACGCCAAATGAAATTGCTGAGTCATAGTTTTAGCTTTATGGTTTTATTTATGAATGTATTTATTTTAGATTTAAGCACTAGTTCTGAGTCATCTACCCCCTAACAATTTATTTTAGAGAACTTAACCATTGTGCATCAGTTAATTCATCCTGGTGGGCTAGATGGCTCTTATAATATATTAGTAATTACGACCCCTGATAACACCAGAGTGACTTTGAATGACCTGCAGGGTAAATAATAGTTATTAATAATGGATTGTAGTTAGAAAAGGCATGAAAGGACACATTATATGCATAAAACATCCAATGGAAAAACTGCATCAAAACTGCTTTATTAAACTGTTTGTCAATAGAGAAGGAGCTTTATTTTTTCTGTTCACCTAGATTAGGTTAGATGTTTCTGGAATTTGGGAAAACATCATGTCCTTTAAGATTAACATATTTTACAATAATTATGAAGCATTTATAGACACTTTAAGGAAGGTCTAAAAGTGAAGGAAGACTAAATCTGGAACAAAACAGATATTTTCTTTTAAACCAAACTACTTTTTCATGATGTGATATGCTGAGATTCTGCATAAACTGACAAGGATATCAACTTTTTGCACAATAAGAAACCTGCTAGTCTCTTATTTTCTTTATAATAATATCTGACAGACCCGAATCTGCCAGCTGGGGGAATTGTTCATACTTATGGTTGTAGTTGAAATGTTTTGGGGGGCTTATAGATCTAGTAAAGTTAATTAAAGTAAAGCTATTAAGCAAGGAGAGGTCTGTTTTTTTTTTTTTTTCATCTGGCAGTCTGAGAGGCATTTCTGTCATCTGTTTGAAAAAGCTGAACTTTTGGTCGAGACTTTATCAGTATCTGTACTGGAAATAAAATACTTACCAGTCATTTCTCAATCTTCATCTATGTGTTTCCAAGTTGCTCCCCCTCATTAAATTAAATCAGAGCCGATAACATCTGAGCAGATAACTTCCATAAACTTTGCTTTAAAGCAAAAACAGCCTTTTCTGTTTAAACTTCATCATCGTCACGTTCTTGTGTTTTTTTTTAACCTTGATTACTTGTTTCTATTTATAAGCCGTGAGGGGAAATATTGAAACCCAGATGAGCATGGGGGGGGGAAAGCTGAGGTGCTGACTGATGCAGTGGAAGGTGATGACTGTTTATCTCCTGCCTTGCCAGCAGGGGTGCACTGGCTAAGAACAGGACTCGGTAAGGATGTGTCAGCTACAGTTTCCATCATGATTCACTTGGTAGTGATGCATGCTTAGACCCGTGTAGGTCTCCTTAGAAAAAAAAAGTCAAATAAAACAAAGTTGCATAAAAAGAACCAGCCAAGGCTGACACCATTACGTGGGCGTGCAGAGCAGCCAGATGCACTCTGAAGCAAGTGCAAAGAGGAAGAAGGGAAGACTGTTGTCACCCTTTGAATTACGTTTTCATTTTTTCACATACCCCGGGGCAACAGGTGCTGAGCTGATCTACATATCTCTCATTAAATAAATGTTAAACATGTTAAACCAAATTCACCACAGATGTCTGTAAAAATCAAAATAATATTTAGATACAGCAAAATAATAAAAAATGTGTGTAAATATTTTAAGTCTTCTATAATAAAGTGCAAAAAGCTTTAGCATCCTCTCCATTAGGAGGGATTAAATTCCATGTCTATTCAGAATCTGTCTTAAATGAATAAAGTTTATACGGGGATCCTTTCTGCTCCCTCTGATCTGCAGATCCCTCCATGGCTTTTGGATCTGTTTCAAGTTGCTTGGCTAACTTGGCTGTTGCAACAGTTTCTAAACCCCTCCAACTGTGTGCTTTTTAACTCTGTCTTTTCCATTTATTCTTCCTTTAGGTGCAGAACATCACAACAAAATGCTCAAAGATAGCCCCATAGCACAATATTCCCAGCTTTAGCTTGTTTTTTCAGCATGCTGCACTGCTAGTCATCATCCAAACATCGGAAGGATGTGATATTCTTAACCTGAATTTTGGTTTAATCCAACCAGACTATATTCTCCTTGTATTTTGCCTGTTAATGTGTTCTGTAGGCGACTTTGGCAACTTTTATTTTTTTATTTAGCAGCGGTCTTTTGTTGTGAACATTCTTGTCACTGCAGTTAAGTTGAAATACTTCTTTAAAATAAAGCTGGCTGCTGTTTTTTGGAGTCTTTGGACATGTCTGCAAGTGATCCTAGAGTCTTGGAAACTTTTCTGATTATTCATTTGATTCCTCGGGCAGAGGATGGCCACGGCTAGCTTCCATGAATATTCTTTCCACTTTCAGATTACAAACCCAAAATGCTCTGTGGAACATCCAGGTGTTTTAGGAATCTGTATTTTCTAGTAGAGGTCTTTTTTTCTAAATGTTAACATTACTTACATTTTTTTCTGTATAAATAATTAATTTTTACTCCATTTATTCCACTCTATTTAAGATAACTCATTTTTTTAGCATGGGTTTAACATGATATAAGGTAATTTTACTGTAAAACGCCTCAATAGTCATAAAATTAATTGAAATAATTCTTATGTGTTCAGGATTTCTTTTCTTTGGTATCATTTTAAATTCTTAACTTATTTTCATCCTTCGGCTGACATTGATTATACTTTTTTAAAAGATGCCCCAGGCTGGAAAATAACCTTTTTTCTGTTCTACCATAAGAATAAAGTTTACATCTCCTCCATACAACCAACCTCCTCCTCACGTGTTCAGAGGAGCTACAGTGAAACCTGAAAATAAAAAAAATAGGCCTCCTATTGTTTGCTTTCATCCAGAAGCCAGGAGCAAATGGGGGCTCAAATTACAGGTCTGAAAGGTAACAGGAAATTGACAAATCGCTAATCCACTCTAACTATTCAGGGAAACAAAAGGTACATTCCACCAAAAGCAGACTGAAGACAGAAGGGCCCATTTGGGGAAGAGGATTCTGGTGAGTCTGAGTAACAAAACAAGACACTTCCTGCCTGCTCGGGTTTTAGCTTTAAAAAAAAAAAAAAAAAAAAACCATTTAAATCCAAAGATCCCCAGAGCTGTTCCATCAAGCACCTAAGAGACACCATCGCCACCATGTCGCCACTGCAGCTGCACTACATTTTTGTTCTTTGTCCCAGAGGAATTTCCAGGGTCTGCGCTTCCCAAACTGCTGCTACTTCCTGACCAACCAACTTCCAAAGTGATGATCTCATCCACTGGGGGCCCGGAGGTGAAGAAGTGTGTGGGTGTCAGTTAGTGGCAGTGGGGGTGGGAGGGTCAACGGACTTCCACAGTGATAAATTCACTAGCAAAAAAAAAGAGAGCAGGGGGGCTGCTTTAGTGTGGGTAGTGGCTGGATTGGCCCCTGTCGTTGTCCTTTAGTGCAGGAACCGTGCCATAAAGCAAAGCCTTGATAGCCTCAGTTTATTATCTTTGAACAGGTGGCTCCAGCTACTCATAATAGTTGTTCTTATTCCTGCAACCTCTTCCTGCAACTCTGAGACCATTTGGGAGTTTGGGAATATCCCAATATAGCTACACTAAAGTCTGGGGAATAAACTGCATGAGCATAGTTTAGTGGTGACTCGTCTGACTAGAATGAGTGGGCGCTAGATTTTATTTTTAAATAAAAAAAAAAAACTTGTAGATGCAAAGCTCAGCATGTCATTTGCTAATGCAGTTTAAATTTTAAGCTTACTAATTTTAAGATTCCCAGCAAAGAAGCGTTTGGATGAAATAAACAGTTGATTTTTAAGCTAAAAGAAGTTCCTGTTTCGTTGCCAGAAAAGTTGCCCCTAGATAGACCATGAGGGTCACACACACACACACATATAAAAAAGACAAATATGAATCAAAGTCATCCACAAGTCACGTCGGCTCAATCAAGACACCACACAGCGCCATATTTTTCATTAATTAATATATTTTCTGCATTAAAGTTAACATAGTTTTCTTTTGTGCCACCCTTTAATTTTCAGTAAGTATTTTTGATATTTTGTTATATTCAGACATGAGTAAATTTAAGACTGTCTCTTGCAATAAATATCATAAAATAATAGAGCTTCACATAATAAATATTTTTTTACAACAAAAAAAAATTGTTTAACAGACATGTTTTTTCTTTTCTTTTTTTAAAAAATAGCCAAAATTCCTCTTATGGAGCATACAATGTACACAAATAAACAAAACAAAAACATGGGAGAATGCCACAGAACGTGTGTGAACAGTCCAGGCGGGTGGAAGGAGAAACATATCCGAGTGGAGAATACTATGAGATGGATGTGCTTTTGTTAATGCAACACAAGCAGAGGAGCCACGGCTCTAATGTGGCAGCGACAAACCTGTCTGCTACGAACACCAGGTAACAGCTACATAATCGCCCTAAAAACAGATCGTCCTTCACAGATTTGGTGGGAGGCAGCCCCCAACAGGCGCAGGGCCGCCAGAAACTGCCCGCCTCAAACGGAAGAAGCACGTTTTCTTTTTTTTGAATTAGAATTTTAAAAAATAGTGTTATTCAGGGAGCTGAGGACAGACAGAGAAAGAGACTTAAGGCAAACACTGGTCTGTAAAATAAAACAAAAACATGGTCCTGATCCAGAAGAGAGCAAAAAAATAATAAAATTATTGAGTGGTTTTCGTTACTCCTTTGTAGCTCCTTCGGGTTCTGCAGCCAGGAGAGGAGTCATGTGGGAGGTGCTTAGAATGTTTGATAAACATTAATCTGTGGCTGTCACTATTTTTACTGTTATCATATGATCCACGTCAGGAGCGTCCCGCGCGCACTCACACACGCACTCACACACGCACACACAAACACACACACACACACACAGGAAGCGATCAGGAAGGCTTTTCCTGGCTCTGTGGGGCCCAGCTCTCCAGTTTACAATACACAGTGTTGGAGTTCTTGCAGCGACAGCCGGGCCGGTTGACCCGGTCATAGCAGCCCTGGCACGCCTTCAGACAGCCCTTGACAGGTGGGTAGCACAGCAGACAGGGGAAGAGTACCGACATTAATCCCATGCACAGGAAGCGGGAGCAGCAGTGGGAGCGTGACAGCGAACAGGGGTGGTCAGCGCATGAATCCCCCTCGTCGTCGTTGGAGCAGTGGTAGAAGATGCCTTTGACCAGGCACATGCACGTGCCGTGCTCCAGTGCGCTCTCCGCCGAGCACAGGCACTGTCCATTACATGCCAAACAAGAGGGCAGGCTCCTGGGGGCCGTGCAGTCGCTGCATTTACACTTCCCACAGCGCTCGCAGATGAACTGGTGCCCGGCGGCGGCCACTACCCCAAAGTCTGATTTCCCTTTGGTTGGGGGCTTAAGTGGAGCCTCCAGGGGAGTCTGGTGCCCCTGCTGGGGCTGTAATAGCGGCTTGGATTTGGGCTGAGTCCGAACAGGTCGCTCTGCTCTGTGGTGGTGCTGTAAGCCCACCCCGGGCCTCGTTGGTGGTGAACGCGTCAGGAGTCCCTGCTCAGAGGAGGCACTGCTGTTGCTCCCTGAACTGGCAGCACTTCCTGTGCTGGTGGAGCGGCTGAGTCCAGGGGCCCGAGAGCCGCCGTACTGAGGCCCCGCAGCAACAACCACCATGCTACTCCCACCGTGGTGGTGGTGATGGCCCGATGGCTGGCGCTCGTAGTTGTTGTTCACATTGACAAGGATGACCTCATGAGTCCTTTCTTGTTTATCCTGGGGCCTGGGGGCCACACGGGGTGCTGGGGGCCTCCGCGCCACCGAGGGCCCCTCTGTGTACTCATTGCTGGAGCGGATGGCCTTGATTTGTTCCAGAGAGAGTATGGCGGCATGCTGGAGCTCCCGCTCGTAATCCGACCTCTGCCGGGTGTCGAGGGAAGGCTGCTGGATCACCACTAATGATCCGGCGGGGCCATGTTGACTTTGGAGCTCCATCTGGGGGGATCACCACTTCCGACATTCACCGTGGACATGCATTGGAAAACCTGTCAGAGAAAGGGAGCGGGGACAGACAAAGGAGAGGCATGAGGCTTCATCAGAGAGAGCTTGAACATGGCATGACTGGAAAAACCACACTGTTGATGTGGAAAAGAGACAAAAGAAAACAACACAAAACAATCAGATATGAGTTTTTGCGGTATTTGAAACACATCACTGTCATCTATCTCTCGTTATAACCAAACTGCACGTTTAAAATTTGCAGAAAAACACTAACTTAATTATGCAAACTCTGCATTTATCCCTTCTAACAGGTCTTAACTTCTGATCCTGTGAAGTGAGGAGGAAAAGTTGAGCATTAACGACGCTTTTGGAGTTTTCCTCCCCAACACACAGAGATCCAAACCTCAACAGACCCTACAAACACTTCCCCTCCTCATTTACATTTCTATGACTAGTTAACATTTAAATGCAGCGCGGCGACGAAATGAGGACACGATCCAAGGGAACTAAATGAGCTCCCTCACTTAGTATTCTATTACAACACCAAGAAGGAACCCAGAGACGAGCAAGGGGGGCCAAACTACTGCATTAGAAATAAATAAGGTCAGGGCAAATTCAACCTCTGGTTTGGACTGATTAAAGAAACAAAAATGTTTTAATGCAAATAAAAGTTATTATGGTACAACTGTTCCCCCTGATGTGCGTTTTTACCATAAATACGCGCAGGAATTTGAGTTTTAGCCTTCGGGGGTGTTCTGAAGGAAAAGTCAACCTGCAGGAGGCCCGAAAGCTGCACGACTGACACATAAACTCATGGAGCCGCTCTCTCTCTCCCTCTCTCTGTGTTGAACTCTGCAGTCAGCACAAGAAAAGATCGATTTTTGTCGCAATCTAACAGAATCCCTCCAGTTCTTGTTCTTCTGCGGCTGAAAACCCGCACCTTATATGGCCGCTTTGACGCAAAGCGCGTCAAGACGCGGAGAAGGCTGCGATAAACACCCGCAGCCGGAGATCCGGACGCTTCCACAGACACGGAGGAACTTATGAATGAAAACAAGCGCCGTGGGTGGGGGGAGGGGTGTTTATTACAGGGTAGCCACGGAGAGAGACGCGGGCATGCGGACCCCATCGAGCGAAAAACACCGTGGAAATGTCACGGAAAGTCTGAGGATCACAACCCGACGCGACTCCTGCACCTTTTCCCCTCCAAGAAATAACAGAAAACATCATATATTAAATAAAAAAAACTTTATAGAGAAGCGCTTACCTATATGCAAGCATCCATAACGTGGAATCCATCAACCAAATTATTTAGTAAAACTCCATCCAACAGGAGCAGGTCTAACGCATAACGCTGGGTTAGATAATCCAAGCTGGAACCGAATCCTGCGTTATTTCCTTTGCTTTGGGTGTCTGCGTGGGGGAAAAGTTCAGCGCTGAGCTGCGCGTGCATAAATCCACGGTGGAGCTCCGTTAAAGCAAAGAAGTCACCCGTGGGGCGCCGCTACGCACTTGGAGATGCAGATTGGTGAAGGCGAGAGGAGCCAGTTAGAGGAGTCCCCGGTGGAAAAGTTGAAGAACAACAACAAAAAAGGTCCAGAGAGAACTGCGAGTTTATATCCAACAGTTTTATAGGAGCGCCGTTTGTTTTCTTTGCTTTTAAGTCTAATTTAATCTGCGCTGCGCTCCGGAGAGGGGAAAAAAACAGAGAAAAACGCAGCGTCCTCAGTGCGCTCCCTCTTGCTCTGTAGGCCTGATCTGCTCTGAATGAATGGGAAGGCAGCGCACTGGGTTTGCTCCACTAGGCAACTCCCATTGGCCATTCACAGCACTGAAAAAGGATACAGCGCATCCGCTCCTGATTCATTAGGCAGATGTGGAGGGCAGGCCGAATGGCGGAGAGCAGTTAAGGTGGAACGGCTTTTCCATGCAGGGAGGAGGAGGAGGAGGCAGAAACAACTAGTTTCCGAATGTTATGATTAATGACAGGAATGAGGTTAATATGACTAATAGTTACGTAATGAGCGCACCGGGTGGTTTATTTATATCGACTTTCTGCTGATTTATTACATTTGATGAGAAATGTAAAGTTTTCCGCAACATTTGGTCTTTCCTCTGACATATTCACAAACATTTACAAGTTATTAGTAGGAAAAAATTTAACTATTAGAAGCAACAAACCTTGTTAGGCATAATTTCACACAGGGTGCCAAATATAAAGAGTTTATTTATGGTTGTTTTTGACAGTAAAACAATAAGAATAAGTTTTGTTTTCTTGTCTTTGAAAGCATTATAATGAGGAAAAATGTTTTCTTATATTTATTGGCATGTTATGATATAAACAGTGTCAATAAAGATTGGTCCAGTAGAATGACACTTAAAAAGGTCATTGCTTTACAGCAGGCATCCCTAAAGTAGGTCCTCGAGGGCCGCTGTCCTGCAGGTTTGAGAGGTTTCTCTGCTTTAGCACAGCTGATGCTGATGATTGCAGTTCAGCAAAAGCCTGTTAATCAAATATTAATGTAAATCAGCTGTGCTGGAGCAGGAGAACCTCTAAAACTTGCAGGACATCGGCCCTCGAGGACCGACTTTTGGGATGCCTGCATTACAGAGTGCTGCATCCCAGCATACTCCAATAAAGTTTAGTGGAAGGAAAACGTTTGGTAGGTAGAAGTCCACTGGCAACGGGGATAGTAGCAGCCTTGGATGAATTACCAAGCTAAATTAATAAAAAAAAAAAAAAAATGGCAGGGCTTCACAGTGGTTTCTTTTCAGATAAATAAAGCAGGTTTATGTACATTTTAAGGAATTTTTATAGTGATTGTTCTATGTTGTGTCAATTGTTCATTTTCCCTTAAGTGTAACCATTGATGGAACCATAACATGCAATTTGATTCAGTTTATTTCTATAGTGCCAATTCACAACACATGTCATCTCAAGGCATTTTACAGTTCACCAGATTATCCAGTCAAATTGATTCAAAGTTTTCTATCTAAGGAAAATCAGTTAATTGCATCGACTCATTGACTGGAATGCAATCCCTCACACTAAGCATGTTTGTAGCAACAGTGGAGAGGAAAAACTCCCTTTTAACAGGAAGAAACCTCCAGCAGAACCAGGCTCAGTGTGAGCGAGGCTGACTGGGGTTCAAGGAGACAGAAGCAGAAATACAAAAAGCAGCTGTAAAAGGCGGCCCCGTCCAAAAAACACACAGCCAGGCAGACGAGCTCTGAGCCAGCTCCCATGTCAGAGGATGAAAAGAGCACATCCAGCCAGTCACAGTCAGAGAAACAGGACTACACTGAAAAACAGGCAGTTCTCCAACATCTATAAACAAAGGTGTTGATGGCTACTATGAGAAAAAGCAGAGAGAGCAGAACATCAGAGATTGAACTAACAGTACACATGTGTATACAATTTTTGGGGGCCTATTTTATTCAGAAACAATTTTCCCAAGCAGATTTTATTGTCTCTTAAGTCAAATTTGCCACTCACAATATGGCCGACAAACTGATGGAAATGGTGCTTGCTTTTGTTTTAGGACGCCCCACCTCCTGGATACAACATATTTAGGCATAAAAATGGGGGACAGGGAAGACATTAAATATATAGCGACACAAACAATCAAGAGCAAGAAAACTTTTTCTTTTATTTATAAAACAAAACAAACAAACTTTACATTAAACAAAATTCTGCGTTGAAAATCCACACATCATATTGTAGCTGTAGTTTCAGTTTCTCTGTTACTTAAAAAATATAAGCCTGGTTATTCTTGTTACCCGTCTCATGCTTCACCTGTGTGAAAGTCCTGACAGGTTTATAAAGGTCGCTCTATGTTTTCTTCCGTGTCATCAGAGGAAATGAAATGCAAAGCGGTGAATGTTACGCAACCTGCTGCTGGCCCCGTTTTATTTATTTTGTTTTTAATTTTTGACACTATGTGTATACAGATTAGTACAGAAGTGGATTAGGGCCACTGGGGGAAAAAAAAGTTAACTGATTTTTAAATATTTCAGTTTAATATGGGAAAAAATTCTGAATTCTGACTTTAATCTCACAATTCTGACTTTTTCTACTCAGAATTCTGACTTTAATCTCAGTATTTTGGATCTTAATATAGATGGGCACCATGAAGGAAGATATGTGGGAGCACTCAGCTTCACTGACAAATATGTGAGTTGTTTGAGAGGGCCAGTGACACATTGGTGGAAAATTATGGAATAGGGCAACTTTTTACATGCCTGAGGGGTCCCCCCTGATGCTATTTCACTAATGGAAGAGTGGAAGGTGATCAAAACAAGAGAGCTAGTTTAGTCTCTGAAACAGACATGGCTACAGCTTGATGCTAACATGTTTGTTAGCTGTCAGAATTCAGAGATTAAAGTCAGAATTGTGAGAAAAAAGTCAGAATTCTGAGATTTAAGTCAGAATTGTGAGAAAAAGAGTCAGAATTCTGAGATTTAAGTCACAATTATGAGAAAAAAGTCAGAATTCTGAGAAAAAAGTATTTCTGAGATTTAAGTCAGAATCTTAAGATTAAAGTAAGAATTCTGAGATTTAAGTCAGAATTCTGAGAAAAAAGTCAGAATTTTGAGAAAAAAAACTTTTTCTCATATTATACTGAAATAAAATTTGAAAATCATTTAACTTTTTAATTTTTTCAGTGGCCCTAATCCTCTTCCGTAGGTTAGTTTGGGTCCACCTTAAGAGAAGAAAGGGAGACTGTAACCCCCCCCTCCCTCCCTCCCTCCGTCCCGCGCGCCTCTCTCCTGCCCCCCACCCTCCTCTGTTCCTGACTGTCTGGTTTGATTGCTGTCGCGGATGCGCTACATCCGGATCCATGAGAAAAGGAAGTTCAATACAAAGTCAATTTATCCCATTCAAATGGAAAAATCAATAGATGAATGACCCCCGCGCGCTGTTTCGGGTCAGCAAATGCTTGAGAGAAAAAAAGAATACATAAAAAACCTGTAGGCTGAGAGGGAAGTGTTTGTGGCGCAGTAATGAGTGGATGTAAAAATCCGCCTCTTGGTGATAAAGCAAATCCTGCGACAGATGGCCGCCTGGATCCCCTCTCTTAGCGGTCGGAAGTGTGGACGGAAATCTCACGATTACAGCAATTAGCCTGTTTTCCATGTATGGATGCGATGAATAAAGCAGCCATGAACGTTTGCCTCCACGTGGATCCTGAGGCTGCAGAGAGGAAAAACATCCAGGGAGTCTAAACAAAGTTAAACACATACCAAACAGTAATCTTAATATTTCTGCTGGAGAGGAATAGAACATTATAGTGTCTGTTTTTAAAATTAAATACCTACTAAAAAGTCAGCCAAAACACAATTAGTTTATACTTTATGAATAAACGATTGTTGGTACAAAAGTCAGGCTTAAAAAGTGAATTATTTTTGTCAAATCAATATTACTGTAAATAGATCAAGATTATATGGAAAAATGGAAACTTTTTTCCCATTTAGCTTTGTTAAAAACAAACTTCAGGGTAAAAAAAGGGGAACAAATATACATTTAAAAATAATGCTTTCTAATCACTGTGACATAACCTTGGAGAACCACCTTTTGCTGCTACTACAGACACGCTTAATTATTTACATAATTCAATTTGCTTGTAATATTTATGTTTATTTGCACATTTGTAGACTAGAGGTTAATTCCGTCTTCTTTAAAAGCAGCTCAGGCGTAGTCAGCTTCTGTAAGCAGATTTTTTTTAAGCCTTACTACACATTTCTAGTACATTTAGATGTAAAAGTTTGATTGGACCATTTTAGTATATACACTTTGATGTAAAGTTCTAAACCACTGTTGCTCTGACTGGATATTTAGAGTGGTTGTCCTGCTGGGAGATAAACCTCTTACCTCTTTAAACTCCAACTTCTGCTGCACCCTAAATGCACAAGGGAGCGTTATCACAGATCCTTCCCAACAAGCTCAATAAGTTGTTACATTCATGCAGATTTTTTGCACAATTTCTGTCTTAGTCAGCTACATGAAATGCTGCTGTCATTTTTTAAGAAAAGTGTATTCCTGCCGTAATCTTGTTTTACTGTGGGGGTGGTGTGTTTAAGTTAGAAGTTGTGTTTGGTGGATTAATACAAATGCATGTTACACTTTCAATGTTATTGTTTATAAAAAAATGTTGAAACCAAAGCGTAATTTTCCCTAAACTCCACTGATATGCTGTTTAATGTATCAGATGAAACAATCACTTAAGTACTTTCACAAAGCAGTGTAAAGTAGAAGAAAGGGCTGAATAATGGATTTATTTTCATTTCTGAAACAAATTTAAGTAAGCATAATGTGGTAAATATCTCAAAGACACAAGATTTCAGCCACATTGATCGTTATAAAATTTTATTTTGCAGCACAAATAGCAACAATTGTACACATAATGTAAAAAGCAACTGAAAATGAGATAAATGTCCCAGAGTGGTGCAGTCAGAAGAAGCAGAGGCCACTGTGCTGCTGCTGATAGCTGATGTATGACTGGATGAGAGAGTCGGGGATTCGGGGCTTCACTGTGTTCAGGGCATTTTCAAAGTGCCTGGCCTCGATGTGCTCGGCTTTGATGTCCTCCTGCAGGGCCAGGAGGGCGGCCTCTCTGCATACTGCTGTTATCTGGGACAGGAAACAGACAGAGACATTCAGCTGTCAGGCTGAGTGGTCAGCCTCACCGTGTCATGTCAGCAGCAGGCCAGTCCACTTCAGCGACACACCGCTGAGCCGTCAACGCTGCGGTTACACAAGACACATAACTACAAAGAGCTGAGGAGAAAGAAAGGTGAGTCATTCCTGATGTGATTATGCTTCTGTTTTAAAATTCACATCATCTTAAACCAAGTTCTTCCCATCTATCCTTTTTGTGCAGATAGTTTTAGCTAATCAGACATAAAGACAGGATTAAAAAGGGTTTATTTACATCCACTAATAACCCCTATATAACTATATATAACTATTTTTTGTGAAACTATTTGTAGCAAATCTGAACCACAGTTTTAATTGTTGATAATATATGCTGTAAGGGATCTGTCGTACCAGAAACAAATGCTTGCCAAAGGTTCCTAGGTCTGCAGTAAATGTGTAACTGGCATCAGCGTAATGCAAACGCTCTCATGGCTGTTTAACATACATACGGTTTGTTGCACATTTTCAACAATAGGTCTCAAGGGTTAAGGTACAAAATAATGTTTTTTTTATAAGATACCAAATTATTAAAACGACATCAGCAAAACAAGACTGTCCACCTAAACAGTATTTTGCAAATCCATTAATCTGTTGATTAATTTTTCGATTAATAATCGGATAGCTAAAGGTTCCTTAAATAAGACTTTTTAAAATCTTAAATGTAAACGTTTTTTTTTTAACAATTTGGTATAATTGCAGCTAAAGGCAGGTTGCTCTGTCAGCTAAAGACAAGTTTTAGAGTCTCTATACTCCAGTTAACGACTAATCTATTACTGAAATAGTTGACGATTAATCCGATGAATTGTTTCAGCCCTAATCTGTAATTCAAGATAGATCAGAAAGATAAGAGGTGTCTTGCAATTTTTAACAATCAAAACAAAGGTACCATGTTTCTGCAATTTTATGGTCAATTGTCAGAGGCTATTCTTAGCGAGTAGAACTACCTTACGGCGTTTCTATTAAGGAACAACTTGAAATACAAAATTAGAAAAACAAAGATGGTACATACCAAAAAATACAATACGTTTCAGATTTTGTATTTATAAAAAAACAAAAACAAATTAAAAACCCTCTTTTTCATTCATTTCCACAATTATGTGTAGGACACTTAGGTAAAAGAGTATTTATAGTTACTTTTCCCAGAAAGTAACTAAAAACTTGGTTTTAGGAAATACTTTTATGATCTAAGATGTTGAAAGATCTGAAATCTGTTATCGCAACTTTTTATGTCTATTATAAAAAATAAATTATAATATAATTATCTTAAAAAATGTGCTGTAAACTACTCCATTTAGGCATTTGTGTTGGGACAAGTGAGTGATACGATAAAAGACAAGAAAATTATTTTAGAACTTGTTATTAATGCATGTTAACAGGCTTAAGATGCTATTAAATAGGTGTAAAGGTGAAAATAAATGCTTTTCAAACAATGTGTTCTTTTGTCCCCCTTCCCACACCTTTTTTCAGTTATGCCATGTTCAAGCTCTCCCTGATAAAGCCTCATGCCTCCCCTTTGTCTGTCCATCTCCCTCTTTCTGACAGGTTTTCCAATGCATGTCCATGCTGAATGTCGGGAGTGGGGATCCCCCCAGATGAAGATCCAAAGTCAACATGGCCCCGCCGTTGTAGGAACCAGATCTGCTCAGACTCTGCTCATGCCCATGACATTATGCTATAAGATTGGCTGAACGTTGCCACATGCATAAAACATTGTGGTTGCCCAGACAATGATAATAACAATCCAGCATCTATGTACCAATTCTGGAGCATCTGTAATGTTAGTGTGTCTGATGGCCTATGAAGTTTTACCTGATTGATGACATTACCTGATTGTCTGCGTGGCATTGCCATACGGTGACATTATCAGCAGGGGCAACGCCCCGAGTAGAACTGGTACCTATACCGGATCATTAGTGGGTTGACCTGCTAATTTACACGATACCTTAAAGCGCAACACATGGATATCGACACAATGCGCCAGCTGTGTCTGATCTAACGAGTTAAAACAAATCCGTTAGCATTCATTAAACCTGGCACAGAACCGGTGAGACAGATTCAGACGGATAAATCTCGCACTTCCTTACATGTTGCTCTCAATTGTTTAGTTTTACAGACTTTCGTAACACTGGTGACATCATCAATGCTAACCCAGCGTGATGGCTTCACCAGAAAGGCAACAGTAGAGGGACAGAAGCCACGCAGCTTGCCTGCGGGGGTCAGACCCAGCTGTTTTTGCCAATGGAAAGGGAGTCAAAGGCCGATTGCTAGAACGTCAACCCATGTTTGAAAAACTTGTGTTAACCCACCTATTTCTGAGGAAAGGAGGCTATAGATCATAGTCAAGTGGGAATGCTTATGCATTCCCACTTATTGTGTGAATGCTGTAGGCATTCACACTATTGAGATCCTGTTTCTCTTTATTCTTTATTTATTGTGTGAATGCTGTAGGCATTCACACTATTGAGATCCTGTTTCTCTTTATTCTTTATTTTTTATTATTATTTTTATTCTTCCGACCATTTTTTGTNGTTATGCAGGTAATTTCAGCTTTTTTCATTCAGCAAAAGCATTCCCACTTTGATGTTTCTCCGAAACAGCTTTTTCTAGTTTGGTCTGTTTTTCAGTATTTAGACCCGTTTCTCTCCTAGACATAGCTACAGGGTCAGCTTTTACTGCGACTAACTGCATGTGCTCTCGTTGACATGAGAAATGGCTGATTAACCTGGTCTTTTGATAGAACCATACCTGGATTTGCCATTACCTTTTCAAACATAGAAAATAGTTATTTATATTTATTGATTAGTGCTTATTTATGGATGAGAGCTTCTGTGTTTTGGGACATCGTGTCTCGATCCATGCTATATTCCAGACCTGGGAGAAGACCCCTCAGTAGACCATCAGCCATCTCATGAAGAGCGTACCCAGGCATTGTAGGGAGGTCATGCAGGCACATGGAGGCCACACACAACACTGAGCCTCATTTTGACCTGTTGTAAGGACATTATATCAAAGTTGGATCAGACTGTAGCATTCTTTTCCACTTTAATTTTGTGTACAACTCCAAATTCAGGTCTCCATTGGTTAATAAATTTGATTTCTATTGATACATTTTGTGTGATTTTGTTGTTACCATATTAAACTTTGTGCAGAACAAGGTATTCAATGAGATTACTTCATTCATTCAGATCTAGGATGTGTTATTTGAGTGCTCCCTTTGTTTTTGTTTTTATCAATGTATTAAACTAATATGACAGTATGACTGGATTGAATTGACTCTGTAAAGTGTTGTAAAGTGCCATGTGTTGTGTATTGCACAACATGAATAAACTAAATTGGACTGAACACATAAAGAGGCAAAGCTGTAAGACCTCTTTTCTACAGACAGCGAGGCAGATATGTCTGTTGTTGGTACAACAAAGGTCTTTGAAAAATACCTTGAAATGATCCCAGAGGAAAACGAATGAGCAATGCCTGCGACCCACGGACTCAGAGTAAGAACATGTCGGTGGCAGGAAAAAACACGGCAAAAAAAAAAAACGGTCAATTGTTAAAGCACATGATGATCAAGGCATGTCTTCCAAACTGGGAGAGCTAAGCAGGAGGAGATGGAGGTGTGAACGCGCTCAAGAATGCTCGCAGCATGCACGTCCTGGGACAGGTGCTTTGCAGATGTCAGGATGTGAGAGGCCTATTTCCCCTTCTCTTCTGTTTCAGTCCAATGAGCTGCACGATCCAGGCAGGGTAAACACGCAGGGCCGGGTTAATTTTGTATAAGAGCTTCCCATCATTCAAGTCATTAAGACCTGTCAGTAATAATGATGCAAAACAATGAGGCTATGCATCCTCGCCGCCTGTTTACAAATGCAGAGTGGGGACTGAGAGAGATGCCACATGTTAAACAATGTGAGTTCGCAAAGTTTCCAGGCAACATCCACAAACAGGAACAGACAAAGTCTGCAGGACAATCAGACGGCAATTTCTGATTTATGCCAAAGCTTCTAAAGGCGTAAAGATGCAGATTAAATTAGACTGTTTTTCGCCACACCCTTCAGGTTTATTAAGAAATTATCTAAAATACTCAAACATGTATGAAAAAAAAAATCACACACAAGCCCTCACATTCATCCTGACTGGGTTCATGAGCTGTTCTGTGAGGGCGATCAACAACTCAGTGTTTCCTGCCTGAGTGTTTGCCTGCACAGACCTTAAAAAACACCAAGCCACAAAGACAAACAGGACGAGCGAAAGAGCCGAGCTGTTTGGAGATGTGAAGGCATTCCTGAACGTAGCCAAAGACCCAGCACTACCTTGATACCCCTAAAGATGCCCCCCCCCCTTTACCCAACGTGCTTCTGCCACGGAAAACGGGGGAGAACTGCAAATGTACAGAAATGAGGTGTGTGCATGGTTGATGGCGGAGACTGCTGAATTGTGGCAGGCCAAATAAATTGCAGAACTCTCTATTTTAAAGTTATTGCAATGCAGACTTTATTTTTCAATCCTGTCATAAATTCTGTCAGCAATCACTTAAATATATGGAGCTGAGCTGATGCATTGCGCTGGCGGCTCTCTGGTGATGTGGACGGGCTCAGAGCTCCTGCTGGTGGCAGGCAGCCAGTCATAAAGCAGTAACCCCCCTCAAAAAAATAAGTAATCAAGAGGCTCTCAGTTAGAAGGTAAAACCTGCTGATTCATGAGGAGGAAAAAAGTTCAAGACCAAGAGGAAGTTTTGATGAGAAAGCAAAAAACCAAGTAACACCTTGTACCCTAAAGCTTCCTTATTCTCCTAATTTACCCTAACAAAAAAGTCTTCAAAAGTTTAGCTGAAATAGGTTTTAATGTTGTCGTTTACAGATTGTAGTTATTCATCAGTCCATTTTTAAACAATCTGACTTTAGACACTGTCAGACTGATATTTCCAGAGTCCTTTATTG